AAAAAATAAAATAACACTGGCAAAAACACATACAAAAAGGTACCTGTAATTGCAAGTGTTTGACCTACATCTTCAGATGATAAACTCAGTCCACCATACTTCCTCTCACTTTCAGCCCATAGAGAGAACACCTGAAGTTTATTTAAAAAAACAAGTTAAAGTTTATATTACACATGTATTGTATTAGCTACCAGAAATCCATAGAAACTTGTCTGTCACCAAATATACGATAAATACGACAAATATAAGTCATATGCTAACACAGAAAGTAGAGCCAATTTATGAATTGGAGCAACTCTCCACAAAGTTTGCTCTAGTGATCGCCATTACCAGTTATCCTTCTCTAGTCTCTACTCTAAGCTGAACTCCTGATCCAGATCACCATTACTAGTTATCAAATATTCTCTACTCTAAGCAGAACTCTTGATTCTAAAATCTGTTTTTGCGCGACAAATCACTTTTTATGTCAAACAAAATGGTTCTAGAGCTTAGCTCAATGCTAAAAATTGATATTCACAGTTCTAGAATCTGCCCATACATCGGGTATACCATAGCGAGCACCTTCCCAGATCAACAGGTCTATTCTTATCTATGAATAAGCAGGTTCGCTATTCCTACTCTTAATAACTATTTTTCATTTTGCCATTCGCCGCAAGAGTATTTAGGTACAATTAGCCATCGCTTTTTTTCTGGAATACTTGATGCCATAACCTACAAATAGAAAATTAATACCTCTGTATAAGCCATGTCGTGGAAGGAGAAGATGCAATAAACAATTATAGATGACATCAATGGCCAATTCTTGAATAAGCTCTTCTTGGTATTCGAAATATTACTTTGTCCAACCTCCTCTTTTGGATCAATCAGATGGGCCTCCAAAGCTTCAACACTTTGATTTCCATCATCACTGACTTTATGCTTGTGTAACGTCTCCTGAGATGTATTTAGAGATATTTAATAATAGAAGGAGGAAGAACTAACTCTTCCAACAAAAATAAACGGTCGATCAACGAGGACAGAATAATTTAAACACAATTTGTTTTCCCACTATTTCATTTTAATTCTTTTTACTCATGCCGCCAGTTACTTGAAGATAATAAAGTAAAAAGGCATTTCAGCTGTGCAAAAAAAAAGACCGTATCTGAACTTCCAAAGCATGTACTCCCTCCGTCCCACAATATAAGACGTTTTTACAAGGGGGGTATTTATTTAACTCTGAACAGTATACCTGAGCTCAGCGGCGGAGCATTGGCGGGACAAATCCGGGCCCTGGCCACCCCTTCCTAGATATTTTTTTGCCAAATAAGCTTGTATTTCTGTTAATCAATCTACTAATTCTCCGGCGTCTCTGATCACCATATCTTTTTCTATGGTATACACTCATTTGGCACCCCCTAAAATTTGGTTCACGCTCCGCCACTGCCTGAGCTATCTAATTTTAAGATCAATTATGCATGAACTCTGAACAGTATTCTGAAGTGGAACGTTTGGTTCTAAGATTACACAGAGAAGTTGTGAAGTGCCAAGGTTCAGCCAGGCAATTTATGGATCTAGGAAGTTTCTGTTCATGCCAATGTCATATGGTTCCCCACAGGACATACGGAATAGCAAAATATAGGTAGAAAAATGTAATTATGAACTGGCAATTAGACTGGTTGCATAATCAAGGAAACTAACACCATTGAAATATCACATACCGGCATCCATATGCAGCTTATCAGAACAATGGCAGCAAAGACTGATGTGCATAAGCATGGTAAGAAGTACGGGAACCTGGCAAGTTTCCATCGAAGGTAAGTATTATGTAATACAGAGGAGTTATCTAGGATACTCTATTTGGATAACACATACCTTCCAAATAATGAGTCAGGCGAAAATATATTTGGGTATTTTTCTGCAGGCTGCCATCGAAGGAACAAGGTTAGCATAGGCCGACTATAGCATAAAGTTGTTAAGAGAAATCTATTTCTTACCAGTGCAAGGTAGCCTCCAAGAGCAGGACCAATGATGAGACCTATTCCCCATGCCGTGCTGACCTAAAATCACATGAAAGTGATGTAAAAATTAAAATCACTTAAAGAGGAGAAATTGTAGTGCATCGGTAGGCGTGTTTATCTTACAAGTGATAGTGCTAGAGGTTCATGTTCAGGTCGGCAAACTTCAATAGCATAAGCCTGCAGAAGTCAGGGACAAATTCATCAGGTATACACAATCTAACAAAAATAAGCTTTCAAGTTCGCCATACCTTCATTGGTCCAAGTAAGCCATTTAAAGCGCCAAGGAGAAACCTTGTAGCTATTGCCATCCAATATGTGACGCTAAGCCCAAACAAAGTATTAAATATTACCCTGTGAAATTAACGTGAGTTAAGTTGAGTCACCTGATAAAATAGAAGAGGTTGAAATACAGTAGTAAGTACAGCCACACTAATATGCACTGGTGTTATGTAAAGAAGAGGCAAACAGTTACTAACACAGAGAGAATGCCAAACATAACAACAGGCTTCCTCCCAATACGATCTGCTGCTATTCCCCAAAGAGTTGAAGTCAAACATCTACCAAACATAAAAGAAGCACCTAAAAAATCCAGTAAATACAGAAAAAATCACATCAGACAATCACAAAGTGTTCACCATTGGTATAAGCACCAAACTCAAAGTACTCAACCATCTCAGTTTCAAATCAACATTGAATACGGAACTCACCTACAAATCCAGCATAGAACCCAATATCTTCTGTTCTTTTTGCAACATGCAAATCTCTTATCTGTAAAGGAGAAGGAGATAATATGAAGACTTATTATCAACAGATACTTCAGAGATAGACGTATGCACAGATATGAAAAGATAACTGACAAAGATTGAAATATTAAAAAAAAACATTTATATTTTCATATAAGTATCTAACTACGTGTCCTGAATAATTAGAAAAAAGGAGAAACGGATATACATACCATGAAATACAAGAAGGGGAACAGTGACGATATTGGTAAAGCTGGACAGAAAGATCAGAGGAAATATTAGAACAATTGCATTATGAAATGGGAAATGTTCATGAAAAGGAACAATTTTATGACGATACGAGGTACATGACAACATTAATAACAATCTTCATTCATGTTTTGACAATTTTGTAGATCCAGAAGTGCTGATGTAAATATTTATTAGGTTACAATGCCAACTTGGAGCCACTTCATAGACATTTCATATTACTCAATTAAATTTGTCCAAACCTTCTCAAAAACAAACTCTAAACACTACTAACTCACATAGGCAAGAGCAGGAGTACTAAAAAAGAGGATTATGCCTGAACTGCTGCTCAATTACAGTGATCTAAAAAACATGGGTAATTTCAGGTTGGGTAAACAATGATTGTTTGACACGGGAAACTGAGTGATGCGAATCTTCACAAATAAATATCACGTAAACTGAATCTACATAATCCAGCGTCATACAAAAATCTATTCACTTTCAGCACATGAGTTCAGATAGCACGAAATGCTAGTAATGAAAAACACAAGCAGTGAAACAACTAGCCCATGAGGTCGGGTGCTTTTGTAATCAAACAACAAAATTTGCACCACAAATAAATTAGCCCATAAGTTCATGTGGTTTTAGGGAGGCCCCAGCAGCACAAACAGGAAACAAAACGCGTGTCCACAAGGAGTTGAACCTAGGTGGTGGTATTATACATCCACTTCCCCAACCAAGTGAGCTAGGTTCACTTATTTTGAGTTGAAGCGGTTGAATTCAGACTGCTGCTCCTGCTATGACAATAAGAGACAGGAAGTGATATGTTGTAATACTGGAACCGTCGAGTAAGACGATTAGAAAGGAAATGATGCAGAATGGGCGAGGAAAATTCATGCCTCCTCATACAGCTCCATTCATGATTACGGATGTGGACATGCGGGGAACAGGTAGGACATGATCGTTAAAGGCTTGTGTCTGAAGTGCCACCCGATAGCAATGATCTGGAAGGCCTGGGGGCTGGGGGTAGCACTCGGCGCGATATGCAGACCCAAAAAAACGATAGGAGCGATTAAATGATCCTGGTACTGCACAACAGTGACCTCACCGAACAAGAAAATTCCGCTGATTTAATTTTCGTTTGTCTCCAGAAGAAGAATCTGGCTTGAGGTTTGAGGGGCCGAAAGGAGGGCGTACGTACCGGTGGTAAGACAGATCATCCAAACGTAGGAGAATTCCTTGTACGGCAGCCCGGTGCGGAGCTCCTTCCTCCGGTCGTGGTCGCAGCCCGGGCAGCCCGGGTGGTACCGGCGCTCCTCCTCCTTGCTCAGCAGCGGCGAAGTCCCCTCCTCCTCCCCATTGGCCGCCGCCATTGTTTGCAGGCAGGCAAGGCAATGGAATGGAACCCTCCCCACCCCTCACAAATCACAATACATAGATAGATAGATAGATAGATAGATAGATAGATAAAAGGAGCGGAGGTGGGATTGGGAAGCGAGAGGCCAATCAGCGCAATGCCGCCGCCTTTCCGCGGGCCGGGGGAAGACCCGAATGGAGAAAGGGCAAAGCGAAATCGGGCACGCAGCGGCTGCCGTCCGTGGCGTGGCAATGCCATTCCCGCTTTAATTTGCTTGCTTGCCACACGCGCCGGCGCGAATAGATAGAGAAAAAGAAAGAAAGCCAAGGAAGGAAGGAAGGGTCCAAGCAGGCAGGTCCGTTTCGGTGTCGCATCCTCGCGTCCCCTCCCTGACGGTCAGACATGACAACAAAGTGGAGGGAGGGACTGGAATTTCCGTTGCACAATTATTACGGCAAAGGGGTTGCTTGGATTTTCGGATGAAAGAAAAACGGAACTGGAACCAACTCGTGGACGCCGAGAGGATGAGAAATCCAACTCGTGGAACTCCCTCCCCTCCCTTGCCAGCCTCAGAAAAAAATAATAACTCCCCCAAAGAAAAGAAAAAGGAAAACTCGTGGATCTCGTGGCCCAAGACGTGCACGTCGTCGTCCAGAAACAGCTGATTCAATCAATCGGAAGAAGAATGGGTTACTTGTCCGGTTGTCCCAAATCTTATGCAGTGCAGCATCCTGCATTTCCGCCTTTGATTCTGATTCAAGTGATGCTCTCATCTCAAGCTTGGGTTACCTGTCCGCTACTAGTACTACGGGATCATGTGATCGGGACAGTGCAGGTGCGTGCGTGTTTTGTCTACTTGCGCCTTTCTCCAGACAGGACAGACGGATCATGAGTACTGCTCCCTCCCTCGTAGTAGTATGACGGTGATGCATGGAAAGTTAAATCAAATCAAATCAAATCAAATCAAGCAGTCAACCAAGCGTTGATGCATTTGCGCAACCAATTAATTGATTAACTAATCCCTCGCAAAAAAATATTAATATATCATGGCGGAGATCGGGGATGAACGGTTGTGGAGTACTGACCGGTGCAGAGGGTGACGGTCCAGACGTAGATGAAGGTGCCGTAGGGGATGCCCGGATTCGCCGCCTTCCGCCGGTCCACCGCGCACCCGGGGCAGCCCTCCACGTACAGCACGCCGTCCGCCTTCTTCTCCAGCAGTGGCACCGACGACTCTGCCGCCGCGGCCCGCCCATTGCGGCCTTGCTCCTCCATATTTACGGCCGCGGTCTCTGAACGAGGGGAGGGAGGGAGGGAGGGAGGGTGGGGACTGGGGAAGGGAGGTTGTTGGAGCTATGGCTATATGTAGTGATGCGAACCCAACAATGATACTGCACGTGCTTGAGATGGGTGAGAATTGATTTCGCTGTGCTTCCGTGGCAATCAAGTTTCAATTGCCCATGCCGATGCCGACCAGATCCGCCACGGCCAAGACAGAAACAAAATCGGTATCGACCAGTGTATAAACCAAAACAAACATGCCTGCCTGCCTGCCGCACGTGCGAGGGAGGGAGCACGGCCACGTCTCCTTTTGGAACGGAACACCATAAACATACAGTGCATGTACGCTCAACTGTCTCTCTCTCTCTCTCTCTCTCTCTCTCAAAGGAAGAACGCGAAGCAAAACATACACGCAAACCGGTATCATCGTTCATAGCCCAATGCAATAGGCCACATGACTACATAACACACAACGGACACGTAATATACGTCACCTTACATTATACGTATACTCTCTGTCGTGGTGAAGCAAAACACCTCCGCACCAAACATCATGGAGACTCACTTATTCTACCGTTACAGGAACTAAGGGCGTCTCCTACGCGGAACCCAAACCGTCCATATCCGACCTGAAATTGCCTCACGCATGACGTTCTATGCTCGATGCCAACCCGACGTTGTCATGTATCGTCAGATTTGCTTCTCGTGTTCGATCAAAGGACACGGCTCGGTGTCGTGCATGTATCGGGTGAGAAACCGTCGTGTGTATAGCACTTCTCTATCCGACCGGACGTAGTTGTCCGGACCCTGCAGGCCATCCAACGTCATCCCCCATCGGTCCACGAAGCAGTCTGCACCGCCGTTTTCCCTACAAACTGAAACCAAACCTAAGTGCTTTGCGGGAGTTCGGGCACCGGTCATGTAGGACTCAGACACTTTAGGCCCACCCAAAACTAAGGCGGAACCTGCTTTTTGTAGTTGGCTGCATTGTTTTCGTGGCAAAATCCCCCACTCTGCTCTTCCATCTCGCCGTTATCCATCCAATTTCCGTCGCCGGCATCGACGTATGGACGCGCACGAGAAGATGCCGGATCCGGCGGTCACGCTCGCCCGGAAGATCAACTCGGAGACACAAGCAAATCACCGCCAGAAAAGCGAAGGCCACAAAGTGGCGGCGCTCAACAAGAAAGCCAGCGGAGGCGGAGCTGGTGGTCGTGGAGGAGGTGATGGCCGTGGTGGAGAACGTGCAGGTGGCGAACGTGGTGGCGGGCGGAGCTTGGGACGCATGGCCCCGCTGTCGTCGTCGACCATGCGGACGCCGCAATGGCCATAGCATTACAAGGCTCCATACTTCTATGCCGCAAAGCAGCTCGGTATGCAGTCCCCAGCATCCGCCGCCGGGCAAGTGCCTTATTGCGTCGACGTCAACGCGGCGCCGTCGCTTTTCTCGGATTGTTCATCGATGCAGCTTTCCCGGACGCGGACGCTGGGCGTGGAGCAGCTGGGTGCCCGCACGTTGTTCGCTGGTATGCCTAAAGCGGGTGAGCTAGCATACGACGACGCAGACATGGGGATGTTTGAGATCATTCGCGGCGGTGGCAGGGAGGAGGTTGCTACGAGGACATACAAATGGATGATTTGGAGCCCACCCAGATGGGCTCGCAGCCAGCTACACCCAGTCTGGCACGTACACCTAGTCAGGCACGCAGCCGGGCTACACCCATTTCGACACATTCACCCAACCATGCATGGACAGGCAACAATAAGATCGGGTCGCCGGATAACTGGAGTGGGAGGAGGATGGCAACGACGATAATTCGGATGAATTTGCTGCCGGTCCAAAGATTAGGGGTATAGGAGAAAGCTTCAACATGCAGGAGGATGGGTTGTTGTTAAAAAAACGTAGTAGAAAACAAAAAAAATATTGTACGATCAAGGTCCCGGATCACTATGAAGATGCATACAATGTTAAATCAGATCATTACCAACTTCGTGTAGCAGCGGAAGAAGAGTTGGTGTAGATCAAACTTGAAGTCCCTTGAACCATCCACGACGATCCTTGGACCGTCCACGACGATCCCTCGAACAAACCTCTCTATACCAACTCTATGGATTGTTGTTTTTGGGACTAACCTATTAACTTAGTGCCCAGTGCCAGTTGCTATTTTTTGCTTGTTTTTGACTTTGCAGAATATCAGTACCAAATAAAGTCCAAATGCCATGAAACTTTTTGAAGATTTTTTTCTGGCAATAAGAGACCCTGGAAGTTTCGGGAGGGAACCAGAAGATGAAGGTGTGGCCCACTAAGCACTAGGGTGTCAGGGGCCTCTAGCACGCCCTGGTGGGTAGTGGGGCCCGCAAGCCTACCTTTGACCTACCTCCGCCTTTATAAATACTCTAAAATCCCAAAACCTACCTGGGAGTCCACGAAATACTTTTTCTGTTGCCGCAAGTTTCAGAACCACGAGATCCAATCTAGAGGCCTTTTCCGGTACTCTGCCGGAGGGGAAAACGATCACGGAGGGGTTCTTCATCATCCTTGCTGCCCCTCCGATGATGCGTGAGTAGTTTACCATGAACCTATGGGTCCATAGTTAGTAGCTAGATGGATTCTTCTCTCTTTTGATCTTCAATACAATGTTCTCCTCGGTGTTCTTGGATATCTATTTGATGTAAAGACATTTTGCGGTGTGTTTGTTGGGATCCGATGAATTGTGAGTTTATGATCAGATCTATCCATGAATATTATGTCACACCCTAGCTAGTTCATGCATTAGAGTGTTGCATCATATTTACTCTTTCATCAGAAACCTGAAATGGGGATGACAGAACCCCCAGCCCCCTCTAAAACCAACTAGGGTTTACTAAAAACTTTTTCAATGAACCTGAAATGCCCTTCTAAAATGCCCATCATTTTTGTCTTGGTTCAGAACCTCTGCCAGAAGTGATGCACATTTTCCTAGGCCATCTTAGGGTTTTTGAATTAAATCATAAATATTTGAATTTGGGCATTTAAAATTATATAAAATATTTAAATGCTCAAATATCTCCAAACTAAAATGTTTCATGTTGGAAATAATCCAACTATGGACCAGGAGTAGTTTGGTGATTTTAGGAGTTGCCTAAGTATTTTTAATAAATCAACAAAGTTGCAGAAGTATTAAAAAACAGAAAACAGGAAAAAATAGAAAAACTTACCTGGCGCCCAGCACCCGGCCCACCTGCCGGCCCAGCCCAGCGCCGCTCCAGCGAGCTGCTTGCCGGCCAGG